TTGTGACCGGAGCTGTAGTTTTTAATACCTAGTGGTTTATAGCAAAAAACTGATACATTTCTGTGAAACTTATTAGCATTAAACAACTTGAGCATAAATGTCTGTTTGATTTTTGCTGATAAAGATCAAGATTACAAATGATTCATACAAGATGAGATTATTACCTTTACTCAACCCAACAGTGACATCCTCTGGTGATACAAGACTAGACTTAAACTTAGTAGTTTTGTTGGACGTAATATGAGCTGAATAAAGCAAGAATTATTTTTTTTCCCCGGAAATGAAAAATACCTGGAGAGTTCATTTTTCAGCTTCTGGTCGTATGTGTCCTCCATCGTCTTTACAGCCAGTTCTCTCCTCCTCAACAACTCTTCAGTAGCCCTCACCTTCTCTGTGTGAATTTGACAAGACCTGACATGGAACCGAAGCAGAACAATGAATCAGAGACTGCAAAGAGATATTTAAAAAAGGTCATTTAAAACATCTTACTTTTCAAAAGCCTCCATTCTCATCCTTAGCTCATTTTCTCTGCTGCGCAGTGTTTCGATTTCTTTCAGCAGTGATTGTCTCTGCATGTAGACATTTTTTTCTTCAATCTAAGAATAACGTTAATGTTTACATTAATAGTTCAAATTTATGGAACACAGTTGCTAGATTTTGAAACATTTAAGAATACAAGAAGTTAATGAAGTCTAAAGTCAATTGTACAATAACTTAAAACATAACAGCTTCAAAGTCAGCAATCATTTTCTTTTAAACTGAGGAAAAAACTCTTGACGTACAAATGTGACGTTCTTGTAAATCTACTCAGAAATCGGTGTGGATTTTATTTTTACCTCCAACAAACACCAGGGTGCAAATATTGCTAACTGAGCAGCCCAGTGATTCTGAAAACCATTTATTTTTTCATTGTTTTATTCTTCACACTGTATAAAACTGTACGGTTTCTGGTGGTGCAGTCCATAACTACTTAACCTTAGAAATGCTGTATCATAAGCAGGATTAGGCCAATTAAAGATCAACACTTAAAAATCTTGCTGAGAGATAAAGACACTTAACTGCATTCTTTACTCAAATGTTCAAAACAGAGAAAGCAAAACTTCCGCCAACAGAAGCTGGGTCCTGTATGTAAAGCCGCTTTTATGATATGGGTGTATGGCTTATGCAGAAAACCGTTTCAGTTATCTTTGGCTGACATTATCATTGGTAATAAAATATTCACCAAGCTTCTAGCTCTTATATGCCAAGGATTTAAAGCATATGAAGGGAAAGAACAGGGAACCATTTCACCTCTTGCTGTCTTTGCAACCTCTCGATGGCATTTTTCTCTCGCTCCATCAGCGCCTTCGCCTTCGTTTCATAAGTCCTCTCCAGTTCTTGCTTCAGCGTTTCAAATTCCTTAATAAACTTGGATTTTTCCTCCATCCTCATCTTTGCAATTTCAACTTCTTTGAAATGTTTCAGCTGAAAAAGGACACAATGTTAGAGCATAAGTAATGATGAAACAACCCTGAGGATTAAACATTATTCCACACACTGATACGTGTTTACCTTTGTGTTCATTTCTGCTTCCTTCTGCGCATCAATCTCTTGTTTATATGCAGTCAGCTTTGACTGGAGTGGGAACATTTTGGCTTCACCTAAACTGAAGCTCTCATATTGCTTGTCAATCATTTTCATTTTGTCAACTGTGAACGGAAAAGAGGATAACTGTGGTTAACGCTAAACTAAACCTAATGGGCTTAAAGGAAAAATAAAATGCAGTTTTAGACATGAGTTCATCATACCAATGGACTCTCCGTAATTTGTCGAGTTGGTTGTCTGAGTATCTACGTCATGACGGAGGTCATGTGTTGAATGGTGTGTCAGGTCGGTTAAAAGGCTGAACAGGAGCCCTGCAAGATACAACCTTTATGCTGACAAGAAGACTTGGGTGTAGAAGCAGTTTGAATGGAAAAAAAAAAGTTACTGAACATACCTTTATCACTGTTTTCTTTATTTAGCTGTTTAAAATTAAAAATATTAGCATTACAAAACAGATTAAGTGTTAATTTGAGTTTATTTTATTTACTGTAATCACATTAATAATTACCATAGATGTAACAAAGGTTGATGAAGGATTAAATTTAAGAACCTGAAGAAGGTCTTCTTGCTTGAGAATCTGCCAAAATTGATCAAAATTGTCATTATTTACAGCTTAAGTGCATTGCAAAAGTATTTACACCCCTTGAACTTTTCGTATGTTGTCACATTACATTTAATGAACTACAATGTATTTTACCTGGGTTTTATGTAACAGACCTACACAGTTTAGCACATCGTTGTGAAGTCAGAGGAAAATGATGCTGGACTTTCATAATATTTTCTTTCTAACAAAAAAACTGAAAAGTGAGGCTTGCATTTGGATTCAGCCCTCTTGAGTCCTCCTTGGATGGACAGCATCCGTGAACAAAAATGTTAAAGTCTTGCCACTAACTCTTTAGGTATGGACTTTGACTGGGACCTTCTAACACACACATTTGCTTTGATTTAAACTATTTCACTGCAGCCAGTTCAAGTCTTTTGTAGATCAACACTTTTTTTCCCCTGTATTTAGCTCAACATACTCTCATCAACTCTAAACCGGCGTCCCTGCCGGTGGGAAAAAATGTACCGCCGCATGTCCCAAAGTGGGAGTAGTGTGGTCAGTGTGATATGTAGTGTTACTGTTGTTCATATGAAACATTTTGCATATTGGTCAAAAAGTTACACTTCAGTCTCATCTGATCAGAGCACTTTCTTCCACATGTTTGCTGTGTCCCCTGCATTAATGGGACTTCCTATGGCTTCCTTTCAACAATGGCTTACTTCTTGCCCCTTTTCCATAAAGGCCAGATAGGTAGAGTGCACAATTAATAACTGTTCTTTTAACAGTCTCCTACATGAGCTGTGGATCTCTGCAGCTCCTTCAGTTACTATGGGCCTCATGTCAGCTTCTCTGAATAATACTCTTCTCGCACAGCCAGTCAATTTAGGTAGAGATAATTTCTTGGTAGGTTTGCAGTTGTGCCACACTCTTTCCCTTTTTGGATGGTGGATTGAACAGTGCTCCCTGAGATGTCCAATAACTGGGATGTTTTTTGATAACCTAACTCTGCTCAAATCTTCTCCACAACTTTGGTTTTTGCGGTACTGTTTGTTCTCTAATTTTCTTTAACAAACCAATGATTACAAAAACAGCTTACACACAAGTGAACTCTGTTTACAAATTAGGTAATTTAATAAGGCAGGTGGTTGCACTGGATTTTATCCAGGGGTATCAGGGTAAATGGAGGCTGAATACAGGCACATTTCAGATAATTTGTAAAAAAATATATATATATTATTTGTTCCACTTCAAAAAACCAAATAAAATGCATTAGAGATTGGTGATTCTTACAATTAAAACTGGAGAAGGAAACAAAAGCTGTCATACACACCTTGTCCTTAGACAGACCACTCTCAGGGCAGAATACAGAAAGTGTGTACTCATACCCTGAACTACGGAGGTGATCAGCCACCATACTGTTGCAAGCTGAAAGTAAAAAAGTCTCAGATGTCCCTTGTAGTGGCCTGGGAGCTGGATTGTGTCCCTTCGAATGTGGATACTTCAACTCCTGGATGAGCTGATTCCGCAGCTGCACCTGGATCAGATCCAGAGGAGAAGAGCAACAAGATGCATAAGTGTATAAGTGTTCACACTTATCCTTAATGCAAAGCTCTGTCACATCTACGAGGTTATCATTACTTACTTTGAGTGTGTCGAGCACTCCTATGTTTTTAAAGGTTTGATAGAGTCTTTTCCTCAGCTCCTCTGGGGATAACGTATCCTCCTTAGAGGAGGACATAGCGATCACAAAAAAAAATAAGAAAACCCCTCACTATCGACAACTTTCTAAGCTTGTTTAGTTAGTTTATCTACCCTGAAAAGTTAATTACCTAACAAAAGAAAGGAAAATGTTTTGCGATTCAGCTGCTTTACTACTCAAAACGTCCCTGTGCTCCATTTAAAGATGTAGACCCAAAACATTTAAACTCGCCAACGGAAATTCTGCAGCAGGTTGGCGCACATCTATGACGCAACTAAAATAAATCAGTTTCATTATTTAAAAGTATAATATATGTTGCATACAGGACTAGTTTAGAGATGGAATTTAAAAATACGCCAAAATACTTAAGACAGACAAGATAGTTTTAAATAGCTGGCTAGCTTTTTGTTATGTCGTCATCTTTGTGCGACCACTCTTTCAGTTCTTCAGGAAGTGAAATTAACGGGTAAACAACAATCGCTTTAAAATACACCTCTGTAATTCTCGTTTGGGTTGAAATTTGGGCCACGTTTACGTTAGTAACAAAACAATCCCTTAAGGGCTCTCTTGAGTTAGTTGTCTAGCTTAAAGGTGTTCACTCATTTACGTAAGATTGACGTTACGTATGTCTCGAAAGATTTTGTCACTTGTTCGATTTTGTTTGCTTTTGACTGATTTCAGGGCATCTTGTGCTTTGCATAGAAGATAGCTATACGATGTCGGGAAGCTTTTACTTCGTTATGGTTGGCCATCATGACAATCCCGTGTTTGAGATGGAGTTTCTACCCGCTGGGAAGTCTGAATCAAAGGTATTAAACATGCTCACACTGTAAAAATGATGCTAACTGCCTTTTAAAAGAAAGGTTATTGATAAGACTCAAAACGAAAAAAAGTGCATACAGTGGCTGTTGAAGGTGTACAAACACTAATAAAATGCCAGGTTTTTGTTATGTCAAAAAAAAAAAAAACCGTAGACTAAGATAAATAATTTCGAAACGTTTTCCACATATATGACATTTGTTCTGGGCAATTAAACTGAAAAATAAAGCAATCTGATATGGAAGTAAAGATGCAGTAACCCAGTTGCAGTGTGAACACCCTGACATTAATATATTGTAATGAAGGCTGACATTTCTGTGTTTTAAAATATAGGTTTTTGAATTGGTCTGGGGCTGCACGGTGGCGCAGTTGGTAGCACTGTTGCTGTGCAGCAAGAAGGTCCTGGGTTCGATTCCCGGCCGGGGGTCTTTCTGCATGGAGTTTGCATGTTCTCCCCTGTGCATGCGTGGGTTCTCACCGGGTACTCCGGCTTCCTCCCACAGTCCAAAGACATGTCTGTTAGGTTAATTGGTCTCTCTAAATTGCCCTTAGGTGTATGAATGAGTGTGTGCGTGGTTGTTTGTGTGTTGCCCTGCGATGGACTGGCGACCTGTCCAGGGTGTACCCCGCCTCTCGCCCATAGACTGCTGGAGATAGGCACCAGCTACCCTGCGACCCACTATGGAATAAGTGGTAGAAAATGACTGACTGACTGAATTGGTCTGTGAAACTTTTATTAGCTGTAAGCCAGTTAGCAAGTTAACATAAGTGCTTAAAATATGCCAATCCGTTCTTAATGAATTTTTATGAGTTGTACTTGTTGAACGGAATTACTGAAATAAATAAACCTTGTAATATTCTTGCTTGAAATGTGTTTGATAGCAAATATGCAAAACAAAAACCAAACCTTATTGTTTTTAGGCCTGCCTTTTGGATTTACTTAAACAATGCACCACCTCTAACAGTGAAAACAAACACCTTATGAGTTGAGTATTATTTGTAATCCTCTTTTTTTGTACATTAATGTCTATTCACATCAAGCAGATGTTAGATTCTACTAATTGTTCAGGTTTCTAACACATTTTACATTTCAAAATTTGGTACCTTCCTTAAAGCTGAACTGCAAGTTCCACATTTAGTTGGTTTTTGTGTCATTTTTAATTCTTAAGTGCATTTAATTAGTAATAAGGCTTTATTAGTTGCATGCCCCACATTATAATCTACAATCTCTACAAATAAAAGATGAATAGCAGGAAACAGCACTAATTTATGGTCCAGATCATAGGCTTCAGTCCTTTAGTAAAATACAAGGTTCTTTCTATCAAACTTTTTGGTGAATAGTTTTTATTACATACGTCCTAAATCTTAATTGTAGGGTTTTTGTGTTTATGATCCTCTTTGACCAAATCATGTCTTACTGGCCACAGGACGACCACCGTCACCTCAACCAGTTCATTGCACACGCTGCCCTAGATTTGGTGGACGAGAACATGTGGCTGTCCAACAGCATGTACCTGAAAACAGTGGACAAGTTCAACGAGTGGTTTGTCTCAGCCTTCGTCACAGCAGGACATATCCTTTTGTGTATTTTCTGTAGTTATTTTTTTGCTTCTCGGTTAATATTTATCCACAGAGTTAGTTGACAAATTTGCTGGGAACTGTATCGGACCCTTTTCTGGTCAGAAACATATCCATCTTTTTCCATTCAGTGAATGCTGATATCGGTCTTCGGTGTGAATGCTTTTAACTGAGGGAAGAAGACTCAAAGGTGGTCATTTCAGTATCAGTGAGGTGTTTTTAAAATGAAGGCAGAGGAAGCACAGAGATGTAAAACGCTTCTAGTATATATGTGAAAGAGCGTGAGAAAACAAGATTTTTTAATTATTCTTGACTTATTTTTATTTCATTGTTCTTAAAGAGAAATTGCAATTGACACGTTTTACAAAAACTGGACGCAAGATGCATCATCTTGTGTATTTATCGTGGCTAATTTTGTGTTTTTTAAAAGCAAAAACCAAACAAGTGTTTATTGGTGTTTTTTTTTTTTACTAATTGAAGATGTAGGAAAGTCTTAGTTATGTTTAATAAAGATTATTGTTTCCAGTTTGGACACAGAACTTTAATAGAATAATGTTACTGAAACAGTTTGTTCTCAAATGTTTTGTCACTTTTTTTGAAGCTTCAAATTGTGTTAAATAGGACTTTAATGATACCACCTGGAGGAGGAAAAACAATTTGTCATATTAGACAAAATAGTAAATATAATGTATGATCTTCCTTATTTTAGTTTATAATGTAGGTTGTTTTTTGTTACCTAATATATGTTTGTCATATTTGCCATGCTTTTTCTTTAACTACCTGCCATACAAACACGATTCATCATGCTGCACGATGTTCGACAAGAAGATGGAATCAAAAACTTTTTTAACGATGTGTACGATTTATACATTAAGGTGAGTCGTGCCTAGTGTGACTGCAGTAACTCAGAATTGGTAGATTGTCTTACATTTTTGCGTTTTTATCTTCCCAGTTTGCAATGAATCCTTTCTATGAAATCAACGCACCGATCCGCTCGACGGCATTTGAGCGGAAAGTCCAGTTTCTTGGAAAGAAACATCTCCTGAGCTAATCGCGCCACAAATGTACTCTTTTCCTTGTATATATATCAAAAAATGGGTGTCTGCTCTCTCTTTTCCTGGTGCATATAGTGAAAATTATGTCCTTAAATAAATTTGTATGAAAGTGATTTAATTTTCCAAAGTGACCTTTTTTTTTTTTATTTATTTTTTTACTTCACACAGGCAAGATTTTTATTTAGCTGTCATTGTAGCTTGGTTCTAAAATTATTCACTCAAGAATAAACCTATTGATGAATACATAACATGTTCTTGAACATATCTGAATGTCCCTTAGGATAGGATTAATAAAATCATGGCAGCACAAACAAATCAAGTCTCCACCAGAGGTTTTGTTTAATATCTTGAATAATAAACCGACTTGACAGCGGTTAATCTTCAGGTTACAACGCAAGCTGATCAGACCATTCTGAGTGTTTCTCATTTTAAATACGTCTAATGGGAGCCAAAATTGTCAAAATGCATTACACAAATCAGTAATGAATAGTTATATATGTGCCAATTGAAATAAAACTGAAGAAAACATGAAATAAAAATAGTTTTATTTCTTAATCATGAATTAAAATTTTAAGTCGTATGCTATGTGCAAATATAATTATTTCAATATTTAACCATTTTACAGTACTAAGTTCCGGCATGAATTTATTTTCAGTACACTTTACCCAAGTAAGTTAGCTGGCAGTTTAACAGAAGAGTTGTGATGGACTGTAGCACAGGAAACATGACAAAACATAAATACCACTTAACATAATGTATTTAATTTTTAATAATTTCTGAAATAAAAATTACATGCCTTTATATAAATATTTAAATGTATTTATTACAGTTTTAAAGGATCACATTCATAAATATTTGCTGGGTTGTGGCACCTTTGGCCCTCTATACCAGCTTTAACAACATTCTACATTAATTTTAATAAGATTCACTTAAGAGAAAGAATTGATTTACTCAAATAATTGAAATGGTTTTTCTAAAGATCTTTAATTGAAGAATGCATTAAGGATTAGTATTTCATTTAAATAAAGCCTGAAAGAAAAAAGTTACCATTTTCATTATATTAAAAAAAATCTTTGTAATTCAAACATCAGCTACGCTACTGAACGCAAAGGTTTGCAGAAACTTGAAAGATCAAGATTGTTACGCACGTTATGCCTTGGGTTAATTTCCAGAAGGGAACATTTTCTCAACACTTCTTTCTTTTTTTTCATGATGCAAATACATAACACAGTCCTAAGGGGTAGTAATCAAAAGTCTCTGGTTAGCTTTTCTAAGAACAGGATTTAGATACCTTATAATCATTGGAAACATGGTTATTGGCTGATACAAATGATGTTCATGTTCTGTAGTTAAATTCTTCATACAAATATCTGTAATTGCTTTGCACAGTCACATCTGGAAGCCCAATAATATTTGCACTTACACATCTAAACAGGATGTATTTGTCATTATGACCGCAGAAAACTGGAACACTAAGTTTTTTTGTTTAAAGACAGTCTGAATTTTAAAATGTGCCAAAGCTAATTCAATGCATCAGTACCTTGAGTTTATTTGTATGTGGACATGGTTAGATTTAGTGTTTCTTGTTTATTTCAGGCAGAAGTCCAACAGTTTCCTTGAACCTTGGACGAATGAGAAAAAGCTAGTAGCATAATTTATCACTACAGCATATTATGTCTACAGCCTCAAAACATCACAGGCATAACAGAGGATTATTCTTGATAGATTCTGAATTTTAAGAACAGCAAGTGGTAGCAGAGCGGGGCTTTCTGTGGAGCTTGACTGTGTCCGTGGGGATGAGGTGATCTGCTTTGTCATCTGCGGCCAACGCTCTGTGCACCGCTTCCTCAAAAGCCACCGCTACATTTGTGGCATCCTTGGCACTGGTCTCAAAATATGGGTAGTCGCCGTTTTCCTGGCACCACAGCCGAGCCTCCTCTGATGACACCTGCCTCTCTGTCACGTCCACTTTGTTGCCCAATACCACAAATGGGAAGTTCTCAGGCTCCTTGACGTCAGCATAGTAGATGAACTCTTTCTTCCAGTTGCTCAAGTTGAGAAAACTCTGGTTATCATCCACGCTGAAGGTGAGCAGGCAGCAATCAGAGCCGCGATAAAAAGGAGTCCTCAGGCTGCGAAAGCGCTCTTGGCCGGCAGTGTCCCAGATCTGTAGGGTTACCTGATTCCCGTCCACCTCGAGGGTCTTGTTTAGGAACTCAACGCCGATGGTGTGGAAGAGGTGGGCATCGAACTTGTTGGTGACGTACCGATTCATTATGGAGCTCTTTCCAACGCCGCCATCACCAAGCAGGATGACTTTAAGCAGGGACTTTCTTGCCGTCATGGCTATTCACTACTTATCAAAAAACACCTTGAAATTATTTACCTGATAGAAAAATAAAACAAGGATTTTTTTCATAACATTTTGAAATTTAACAGTAAAAATACATCTCAATAAGTTTCACTTTTTGAATTGAATTCCTAAAACAAATTGACTTTTTGATGATAATTTATTGGGATGCACCTGTTAATAGATCACACTTTAAAGCAGGAATACAAAATAGGACATTTATTGTCTTTTATTCTTACCCCAGTTTGATGTGCTCCTCAACTGGTCCAGTAATATGCTGTTAGCCACAGTGCTAGATCACATGCTCATTTGCTTAATTCTGATGATGGCAGCCATATGGAAATCATCTATCTCTGTGAAAAACAATGATAAGGAATCATTTTCCTGATTTAACACACGCTTCAGGGCATTAATTACGGATGAAAATATAAATAAACTGTTAACAGAACATAAA